TGTGTACGGATTATGGTGCTCGTTAGTGCAAACAAGCTGGCCGCACAAACGAGCCGAGTTTCTGGCGAGCGAGCTAAGGAGTACCCAGTGAGATCGTTTCAACACTAGAAAATAATGTCTAATGACTTTGTGTCGATCCAGTGTTTTGATGAAATGAACTGATTTCGTTGTTCATGACCACCTATGTTTCGTTGTTGTAGATAAAAATAATGTGCAAAAATAGTTTCAAAAATAATTAGAAGTTCCGGATAATTCGAAATTGGGGCCTGGCAATTTGAGGTTCGAATTGGAGGGAGTCTACCTGTATATGGCTCTTTCTTCGTTCTTTGCAGGCAGGCATAGTGGGATGGTCTAAGACCATGATTAAGAAACAGAGGGTACCAAGTTCAAGTCCTGCTTGGAAGCGGAGTGATTTTTTCCAGCCGTGCTGCGACCCACAGTTAATTGGAAACTCGTGGCCTGGCACGAGGAAAACGTGGATGCAGTGAATGGGATTTTCGGTCTTTGACCACTTACTGGTGAGCTGATCTACTCACCTCCCACCGCTTTAGGAGCTGCATCTGCGCCTGGATACATGAAGGGTGGTGGCGTTCCTACGGATGCGGAAAACTCGGCCTCTATAATAGATAAACTGAGTCTCACGCGTACCGTGAAATTAATTTTCTTCGTATATGGTTGTTTTTGGCATATTTTAGCAGAAATGGTTAGAGAGGGTCCGAACAACGTAATGTTGTTAGGAAAAAGTGGTCGATCTGTGGAAAATCTTAGGTACGCTGCATTCGGACATGTGTCACGCCGTGCGGATTCGTCAAACAACGTAGCTGCCCTCGCCAGCTCTGAACACGACAGTTGTCGAACCAGGGAGAGAGTCATAGCATTCAACTGTACAGTCTACTCGCGATAAGTCACGCACTTTTAAGTCACGCACTCGCGATAAGTCACCCACTTTTTCATCCAGGACACCCATCTCAAGATTTTTTTTTATTTTTCGGGATTTCGTGGATTTCGTGGATTTCGTGAGTATTTGCGAATGATGTGGTTTTCAATGATGGAGCTTGAATACTGTAAAGGTAAGAATATAATTATTATGTGCATATTGTATGAGAGCCTTCTTCCTCAGGATCACCCACGACAATCCAAGTTTGTCAGTCACAAACTTCTCCCTTCGAAGCAAAATATACTTCACTAGCCGCTCCTCAATTTTCCCGAACTGGGAACTTCTGTTGCGGACTCCCTGTGGACCAGACGGATTAGCATCGACGAGTTTGCCAGCTTCAGCATCCCTCAGCCAGCCGCGGAACATCGCCTCCGGAACATTGTTCAACTTCGGACATTTTCGAGCGGAGGTTTTTCCACTCTCACGATAGAGACGAACCAAACGCAGTCGATCAGCCACTGTTCGCTGTTCTTTCGATTTCTTATGAGAAGGCATCGTCAAGCAAAGGGAAACGAAGTGTTTACACGACGGAAACAGAAGTGCGTCTCGTCAAATCCCTACCAAAACGGCAAAAGAGTAACGGAACGTCGTTACTTGTCTTTCTCGATCATGTCTTCATATCGATCATGGCTTCACGCTGTGGTAGATGTACGTCTCGTGTACAGCAGTGTATGACAGTCAGTGTACCGTGCAGCTCAGTGCTTGTACGCGTGTTCAGCACACATGTCCATAATTATGTAGAAGAAAAAATGACGGCTGTACATATGCATGACGTGGTGCATAATGTAAGTCGCGCACTCGCGGTAAATCGCGCACTCGCGGTAAATCGCGCATTTTCTATTCCGGGACACTGTGCGTGACTTATCGCGAGTAGACTGTAATCCTTTCACGGAAGCGCCTCCGTTACTTGAGCTCTATAAAATGTATGTTCCCCAGTCACTTTTGAAAGTGAAGTTGCTCAACTTTACACAGTGCGTAACCTCTCTAAGGCGAGACCAAAAAATATAGAGATTCCCGGGCCCTCCCGCACAAAATCGAGCCAAAGCCAAATTTTTTTAAACAGTTCGTACATGTACAGTACTGATCGTGTGAGTCGATCTGTGACGTGGAGTCACACAAACCCGAGCCTGTACGACTCCTTGATGTACAGATCAGGGCCATCGTTGGACGATATATAGAAAAATTGAACGGGTAAACTGCGTACCTGTTGTCTGTAAAAAAATATTGAATAAAAATTACCGGAAAATGCTGTAAAAAAGTTCAACATCGCATGCACACATATAGTCATGTACATACAGTGTACAAGGGAAGAAAATATTTAAAAAAATTCGCCCGCCCGTACCAATTTCACATGGGTCCTACCGGGAATCTCAATTTTATTCCCGTAGCTATGCAGAAGACGTTACTTCAGTAACGTCTGGCGCTAGCCAGGGTCCACACAGCTTTAATTTGGTATTTGTGTGTGTGTTTGTTTGTTTGTTTGTTTGTTTGTTTGTGTCACGCCTGGCGCTATCCCGTATCTGTCCCGTACCGTATCGTACAGCTGGCCATTTGCTGGCTCCCTTATCTGTCCCGTACCGTACCGTACCGTACCATCAAACACAGCTGGCTACAAACAGCTGGCCACAATATTATGTACATGTATACGACTCCCTGTGTGTTGCAACTGTGCTTGAAGTGGACGGTTGCACTTTTTGTAGCTCCATTTTATCTGAGTTTTCAGTCGTTCCTCTTAATAGTCTTGCCAAGGGGGTGGCTCTGGGTCCACCAGAGTTGCCCCTGGCGTATTTCTGAATTTGCTGGGGCGAGGGTTCCGCGACGCGGTCGCCAAGGCAGTGTCTTTTCAGTCACGACCGTTGTCGTCCTCGTCTCTCCATTCGCGGTGGTGTAGCTGACCCCCGAAATAGTTTCAAACTGCGAAGCTCGGTGGAGTACAGTGGTGGCAGAGGCATGAGCTGTGAGTGGAGACGGTTGCTGGAGATGGATGGTGATGCAGGGAGAAGAGTTACGCAGCCTGACGCCGCGTGGGAAATTGTTTGAACCTGCAATTTCAGTTCGACCGCGGTGGACTTCTAGACGATGTGTCCTCATGGCTGTTTTTCAACGCTTGGCCTATCGCTGATATCCCTGCGTGGGATGTTCTTCCAGTGGAGTCCAGGTGGGACTTCGGGTGCCCACACTCCATCACCTGGTTGATTGTTTTGGAACTGCAAAAATAATTATTGTTTCGTATTTTGTGCGCATCTCTTGTCATCTCTCTTTTCTATACGTCGCACACCAGATGTACTACTATCGCCGTCTTTCTCTTGCTTTCTCTGCCTGCTTGCTGTTTTTTGTTTCTGTTGCCACTGTCCCTCATCATACCCATGCTTGGGTGGTGGGCGGCGTGACCCGTTAGGGTAGCTGCCAATACAGTACGACTCCCTGATGTATAGAGAGACTTTCTGGAAAGAAATAGGGAGACGAGGAGGAAATGAAATTTGAATGGATGTTAGTTGCCGAATAGGTGATAGGATGCGTCAGCAAAAACATACTTTGGAAGAGAGATCCCGTCGTCTCCAAAACAGGCGTGAACGGGCGAGTCAGCGCTGGTCACAGGAAACGTCGGCAGAGTGATCCCGTCGACTCCAGAACGCGCGTGATCGGCACAGTCAGCGCCTTCCCAGGAAACATTTCCATCAGTTCCCACAACATGCACGATGAGCTAAGTAACAAAGCATAGCGTAGGGCCCTGAGCTTCCAAGCTCTCTCGTTAGAGAAATAACAATCCGCAATAAATTCTGCAAATACTTTTGCCTAACTCATAATATTCAAACCGATTGAAACGTTTTTGCAATACAGTGATGTGGCCAATCAACGGAAAAAGACAATTCCATCAGTTCTTATAACATGTACGATGGGCTAGGCAAAAAAGCATAAAACATAGTGTAGGGCCCTGAGCTTCCAAGCTCTCTCGTTTTGGTCTCACCTAATGGCCCAGTTTTATGCTATGTTGAACTCAGATGGAGAAACAATTGAATTCATGTAAAGAGGACTAGAAAAGAATGTTACGAGTTTTGACGAACTGTCACCCAATCCAATCAAATAGCATTCAGTCGCATAGTGCGACAGCAATTCACAAACTCTGACATCATAATTATCATGTTTTTTGTGTCATGGTCGACCAAGACCATTCGGAGTGCTGAGTCGAATGGTCGTGGTCCGAGGAAGCTGAGACGCTCCCTTCCTACTTGAATCCCATTCGAAATCGCGCACCTCCACCGAAACTGGGTGACTGCGCCCTACGAGATGGGGATTTGTATGCAAAATGTCACTAAAAGGGCCATTTCGTTCTTATAAAAGTATGGATGACCGCGATTGGCCCATATATTGTTGTCTTTTGGACGCTGAGTCGATTGGTTTTGGTCCGAAAAGGCTGCGATGCAGCGTTCTTCCTTTATTCCCAATCGAACATGGTTGAACAAGCGGTCACGTGCTCCTGCGTACACCAGTCACCTCGTCACCGTGCCTGCAGGGTACAACTTACTAGCCTGTTTGACCGCTTTTGGGTGCAGTCCTGTCACTCGAGTTGAACTCGAGTTGAACCTTGGTGTGAAAGTTGTCGCCTGCTGGCGTGGTGACCAGGTGATTTGGGCACCCAGGAGCACGTGACCACTTGTTCAACCATGTTCGATTGGAAATAAAGGAGGAACGCTGCATCGCAGCCTTTTCGGACCAAAACCAGTCGACTCAGCGTCCAAAAGACTACAACATATGGGCCAATCGCAGTCATCCGTGCTTTTATAGGAACGAAATGGCGCTTTTAGTGACATTTTGCATACAAATCCCCATCTCGTAGGGCGCAGTCACCCAGTTTCGGTGGAGGTGCGCGATCTCGATTGGGATTCAAGTAGGAAGGTAGCGTCTCTGCTTTCTCGGACCAAGACCATTCGACTCAGCACCCCGATGACTACAACTGGTGAAATTTTAATTTTTGCCTTAACTTCCCCTTTAATAAGAACTACCAACGCGTCTTTCTCGAACATCACTCGAAATCTCCGAGCCTCACAGAATAGTTCGACTCACAGATCTGTCAGATTTGTCAGTTTGCCAAATATATTATCAGGAAGGCTCGTGAGTTGATTCTGTTGCAAGTACCTGCATAAGCAGACATACATGTGCAGAAACATTGCATGGGAATCACCAGCAAAGTAAAGCTATTTGAGGTAAAATTGATACATTGGAGCTCTTCGCCTGCTACTTCACAGGTTAAAATTGTGTGGGTGCAATGAGGGCTGCTTCCTGCCTGCCCAAGGAGATTCACCGGAATATTGAGTTTTGAAGTCTGATCCTACAAGTGTCCTCGTTTAGAACCGACCTAGAGTGCCTGATTGGCGCTCTTAATTTGCACAGCCCGTCATAACTTGGAAATGGCACGAATGCGTCAGGACGTACACATGCACAATTGCAATAATGGAATCAGAACTGGTACAGGTCGGATTGCACCAAGCGGCGAGCGCACTAGAAAATACCTCAAGTGTAGAGCATCACCTGACTAAGTGCTAGTGGTAAACACATTATTTCTTTAGAATTCATGCCTGTACTCATGGTAAGACCATCCCACTATGCCTGCCTGCATAGGGTACCAGGTTTAGTCCATCCCACTGTGCCTGCCTGCATAGGGTACCAGGTTTAGTCCATCCCACTATGAATTCCTGCATAGGGTACCCGGTTTTAGTCCTGCTTGGAAGCGGAAGGATTTTTTCCAGCCCTGCTGCGGTCTTTGACCACTTTGGGACTTTGATCTCCTCACCTCCTACTGCTTTAGTAGCTGCATCTGCGCCTTCACCCTTGAAGTATGGTGGCATGCCTACGGATGCGGAAAATCGTCCTCTAGCCAAGTCTGATGTGAGCCGTTATACTTCTTCTGCGTCATCGAAATTGTCGCAGTTTGACTATTGACTTGGCTCTTGTTACTTATACCTCTATAATCTAAACCATACAAACATTATTACACATGATGATAGTCTGAAGTCTAGAGTAACATTCCCGACTAGTTTGACTGAGAGTTTCACGCTGAGCTGAAGGCCTCGTCACCGCTGATGTCAATGGACGAAAAAATATCGTTTCCTCAAATTTTCAAGGAAGGTTGTAAGTTGGTCGCGCCTCATCTCAATGGCTTTGACTTTCCCTACAAGACGAGAGCTGGTATGGTTGTCGTCTGCTAGCTCTGGATGATTTCTACTTCACCACCAGCCCAGTACGAATACACTATCGTTGCGAGGTCGGTTGATTACCGTCGGCGGAATCACCTCGATCGTGAAATGAACTTATTTTTAGCCGTGGCATGCCCCTTCATTTTAGCTGTGTGGTCACTGCTCACACAGGTAAGTGTACTATCACGTTGTACGTTGTACGTTGTGCTATTGTGGAACAGTCTCTCGGCCGAACTTCAATCCATTGGAGAGAAGAAGCGGTTGCGTGATGCATTAGGCTCGCAAGACATCCTTATTCTCCCAGTTGCCTTAACCGCTTTTTGTACTGTGCCAAAGACCTGGACCTAATACTCCTGCTTCTTAATCTGCTGCCAGTCAACAAAGGTCTGGTGCGTATCTTATTTCGGTCATGGTTGGCCGAAAATTAGTTGCGGCCCAAATTTTGTTTTGCAAGGTTCAGTGTGACAGTGTATAGAGGTGGCAGCAGTACAGGCCGAAAATTGGATGCGGCCGAAATGGGTTTTAGCCAGAGGAGGCCGAAAGTTTGAATGTGCCGAAAATGTGTATACTTCCAGTATACAAATGTGCTATATTCTCCTCTCCATTCTATCTCCCTTCCGTGCCTGCTTTTTCTCCCCTCCCCACTTTCGTACTGCCCTCTCCTTTTCTAAGTCGTCTCCTTGAGAGAAGGCACCATTGCCTGTTTAATCCAACAACTACAATATAAACAAAAGCACAACAACAACAACATCAACTTTACACGGTCCTTGATGCACTGGAAGTGACACAACTGCTCAGCGGCTTGTCGTTCACATTCACAGTTTCATTGGCGTTATCAGGACTGGTCTAGGACACTACATTGCATTTCAAAAATAATATACGCGTGATTTCAAAAAACCGTTAGGACAGCATCTATACCACATAAAATCTGTGATAATTTTGTGATGAAGAAAGGAAAAGGACGAAATGTTACGAGTTATGTTGGTTTGCTCCTTGGAGATGTGTTGGGGCTAGGTGTCAGGTCGCCGAATGTCTCAGTACTCCTTGTCAGCTTTATGCCATTTTGTCACACGTGCTGGCTGTATAAGATCTGGTTACGTTGGTGGACAGTTTGTCATAACTCGTAACATTTTGTCCTTTTCCTTTCTTCATCATAACTATATTGGCTCACCATCCGAGCTCAAATTTGATAAAATTGTGCATAAAAATTTCGAAATGGAGCGTTTGCTATTCGATCGCTCAAAAATCTATATGAGAGTAATTGCGGAAAGTCGCTAAGCAATATTCCGGAGAATTCTCAAAAAGCTCCAGCCAAATTAATTTTGAAATATTTCAAAAACACCATGCGTCTATATTTTTGAGATGGACTGCAGTTCTGTACGTTTTGTCAGATTTCACGGAACGCAACAGTATTTTGAAGAGCATAAGAGAGAATATTGGCACTACTTGTCATGCATCAGTGTCCACCAAATACACATCACACTTTTCGATCCGTTGCATAATTTTAGTACCGTGTACTAAGACGTTCCCTGCAAAACAACTTGATACCGCTACACTAACCTCCCAATAGTCAAATGAATTATGACTGATAACTTTGACTTTTGAAAGGTCTATATGAGTGCTCAACGTCACAGAGGAAAGTTCAACTCACAATGTTTTAAGAACGCTAAACTTGTCAAAGACATTATGCGGTATCATAGAGATTTGGTTATTACTAAGAAACCTGTAAAAACAGACCATGAATATAATGCTGTTGTCAAATACATTATGAGGAGTCGTTGCAAGTCGGTGTCTAGCTAAACAAAAGGCAAAAACAGAATATGACTTTAGTATGACAACGACGAACACAAGCAGGAGGAGAACACCGCCCCCGACGACGACACGAACACGACCAATAACGACAATACGTTTTAAAAAAAAGCTATGAACAAAATCAACTACAAACTCATTACTCGGATACACAATGCACACTTTTTTGCTCACATTGTGACATCCCATTTCTTGATTGCAGCACAGGTATAGTCAAACCTGTCATTGTAGAAGCCACCTAGATCTATTATGGAGAGCTTTGTCAACGAACATGTCACCAATTTCTTGGAGCGCAATCACCAGCTGACTGACAGCCAGTTTGGTTTTAGACGGGGCCGGGGCACAGCTGGTATGATGTTGGCTGTATTTCAGCATAGTCGAGTGGAAAAATTCAAAAAGTTCATTTCAGCGCTAGGAGAGATGTTCTACTATCTGCCGGTGTATAGTACTTGCCAATTGAGGACGTAGCTGGCTGTTTTACCAGTGCTTACAAATTGGCGATTTTCAAGACGATCATTTGTGGCATCAGGGGTGATGGCCCTGGTCTTTTGGGATCCTGGGGGGGGGGGGGGGGGGGGGGGCTAAGTGGTACTGCTATTCTAAGGTGAGACAATGTTGGCTTGATGGAGATTTGGTCGTAGATTGTTCATATATGCTGTGGCGTGACTCGTTTGTAAACCCATAAACTATGTGATATTTCGTCCATTTTGAGGGGTACAGTCAACTTTGCGTACAACGACACTCGGCGGGGCATCAAAAAAGCGTCCTCATTCACGAAGTGTCGTATTACGCGAAGTCTCATTATATGTATACAGGTAGTATGGACTTTGCTCTGGGCATGGAAACTGTCGGTATTCGCGAATTGTCGTTATATCAAGAGTCATTATTAGCGAAGTCCACTGTATGCAAGTTCAGGGCTCACAGTAGGCATCCAGGGTTGACAAAAGCGTCGTTCTGGCACGTGCCGCGCGCCTCAGTGCACGTGACGCAGGGAGAGCTGCTGAGTCAGTACCGTGGTACGCGCGAGTCACTACATGTGCAGTGCTGAGAGTGCTGTGACTAGATCATGAACCAGGACACGGTACTTGAAGATGGTGTGCACTCATCCGCGCACTGCAATGCCAATGCCCGAGTAATGGTTTGTTTTTGTGGTTTTTACTCTTTGTACCGTCTTGCCGACCACTGTCTTGATGTCGATATTTCCCTTGCGTGGTGCAGCAGCCATTGCCAGCGGAGCACAAAGAGCGACTATGAAACCAAGACTCTTTCCTTCCCTCAAGCATTCCCTTGCATTATCTTCCCTGCCATCACGATATTGTGCTGGCTCCAGTGCAAGTGGGAGTCCAATGGTTATTTCTGGTCACGGTGTTGTGTGGTTTTTACTGTTTGTACCGTCTTGCCAATCAGTCTTGATGTCGATGTTTCCCTTGCATGGTGCAGCAGCCTTTGCAAGCCAGGCATTGGCGTTCCCTAGCTTGTATAATCTTCCCTGCCATCGCGATCTTGTGGTGAAACGCAGGCTCCAGTGGGAATAGTTTGCCAGTAGGAACCTTTCGCATTTGCTATGAATCGAATGCGAAACGAAAGTTTGATTCGGCTCGTAATCGTTTCGTTCAAAATAGATTGAGGTTTCGCAAGTCGTCATGCAAATGTGCATGGCAACTACGAAGACGGCGGTACGGGTGTTTACACGCCCACGTGCATGGATCATGGAATCAATGGAAAAATGTGTACCTGTCAAAACATGCGTACATGGCCAAATAAATGTGTACCTGCCGGATTCGGAGCGCGAATAGGCTTCCATGGTTCGCAGACGGACAAGGCAGAAAGCGACCAAGAAGATCCTGATGAGACCCAGGAAGTAGCAGCTTTGCAGCAGGGAATAAGACAATACTCCGAGTATTGGGTATGTTTTGTAAAAATGAATGTTTCAGTGCATCAAAATAGAGGGACGTACTTGTACTGAACGCTTAACATCTTCAAGTCTCTAGAATTACTCAGTCTGTGCTGATCAGTCTCTAGAAGTACTCAGTCTGTGCTGATCTGTCTCTAGAATTACATAACGCGCCCACACATACATGCATACTAATAGCAATAGTAATGCGGATGGAACATTATGCTTGACAAGTGAATATTTCTTCTCGTTCACATATCTCTACAAATACACATGCGTGCGCCATATAAAATAGTGTATAGCTACTGATGTTCAAAGAACACTCTTTTCTGCGGGTGGGTGTTGATTGTGCATAGGTGGAGAGCTCTGACGAGGAGGAGCCGTTTCGAGTAGCAAGTCCTGAGCACGAATGCATTAGCGATGCCGGGGAAACAGGTAGTGTAGCAATGCCTGAGCCTGAAAGCACTCCACTCTCTGTTGCACTAGTGGCAACCGGATTCCATCCGTTCTAAACAGATGACCAAGGTATTGATACTCAAATGCTTGCCCAGCAACAGCATAGTCCCGAAGTCAATGATAGATGGCTGCAAGCAGAGCTTGATAAGATGCTCGTAGAGTATGCCAACGTGTAGGATTCGCTCCAGACAGCGCAGAAACTGGCAAGGATGCAAGAAGAAGAAATATCTCGCCAACAAGAAAAGATGAAGAAACAGACCAACACTCTGCGCGGTTTGAAAGGTTCCTACACCAAACGCAAAAATGAAGAAAAAAACTGCTGTTTTTTTTGTTCCACTGCATGCATGCCATTTTCTTCTTGTTTGATCTTCCACCTCCTTTTCGCGCGATGCGCACGGCGCACGCGGAGGAGTCACCAGTTCTACAATCAGTACAGAGAATCTTCCTCTTGGTCGATTTGGACAATCTATGGCATAAAATTTACCGAGACGTTTTTGGATATTCCCTTCCACTGCTGTACTATATCTCACGAAGTTCACGCATACGCAATTTACCGAGACGTTTTTGGATATTCCCTTCCACTGCTGTACTATATCTCACGAAGTTCACGCATACGCTCTGGCATACCCGTGTGGATAATGAAAATTTGTTTCGGTAAATCTTTTGGAACACATGTCGTCTGTGCCAGGGCCAATCGACAGCCTCGTAGCACCTAGCTGAAGTGCTGCTAACTCCTTCAAACACCCCCTACTTCGAGCAAAAATGCGACGAAATTCTGACTGCTGATTAGTCATGCTGGCATTTTGGAGCATGTGCGCCGCCCCCATCTAATCGACGCTTTTCTACGCAACTGTGAACCCTGAAGTTTCAAGGTTCCCTTCAGAAACGCTTTCAAGGGCTTCGCACAATTGATCTACGCCCCAAGGGGAACATACCTGAGCGAAATTGGACAGATCCACTAGTACACATACTTTGGTATTCCCAGACACGGTTTGGGGTTGCGAGCATTAGAAAATGAGGTGGGGCGTAATTTTGGTGGATGGAGTGAGCAAACGCTATGTGTCTAGCCTTAAAGCGGGAGAAGAGAGTGGGCCATTTGATGCGGTGTAGAAGGTCAGAGTGGTTCATATGGGTGTAGAGAGGGTGGAGGAGGTATAATCGTGCTGCTTTCCGCTGTATTCTCTCTAGCTTGTAGTAGTGTGGGAGATGGGGGTAGTAGTGTGGGAGATGGGGGTAACAGCGATGCTGTTGTTTTTTAATTGAATCTTGAATTCTTTATTCTCACATTGGCAGCATCGCCAATAAGAGATAAGTTTATGAGAAGGTGAGATGCTGTTGGTGGGGACCATGGAGCAGTGTTGAATGATTCAGAGGAGTGAAGAGTGGTGGGGGGGGGGACGGAGGCAAATTCTGGCCGCCTTGTGTCGGATTTGCTCAAGATGGTCAAGGGCTGTGATTGAGAGCGGGGTGACAGCTATGCATGCCTATTCAATAGGCCTAATATTCAATTACAGGCAGGATATAACTATTTAAACAATCGATGAGGAGACAATAGTCGTAAAATGGCAATAAATAAGATAAATTGTGCACTCATAACAACAGCAAAAATGAAGAAAGTCAAGTTCCATAACGTTTTCTTGTGACTGTCATCAGTGGAACGCCGTCACATAAAAATGCAATGACTAAAACACACACTTATATACATGTAGCTAATATAGTTTCAGGTAGAAATACAGCAGCTAACAAGTACAAAAAGCGAAGTTTGCACCTTTGCAATGTGTGAATATAGTGTATGTGAGAAAGGTAGTGGCAGATGAATGCGATACTGTGTAAATGAATGTAATAGTGCGTGTGTATTACTTGAAGTGTGTAAGTGATACAACGTTTTCTTTCTGTTTACATAGCACAGGGTCACGAGTACGAATATACACAGCTTCCAACACCTGCAATTGCTTGAAGAAACGTGCGCAACTGGATAACACTAAACCAGGAGGATGACAGTAGTGATGAGGAGGAGGTTGACGTTGACAAGCGGAAGTCCGCAGTGTAAAAGCATTTGGTGTCCAGTCCAGAATGTCGTAAGGTGCTTGACGATTCCTGGTTTAGTGTTATTCGTTGCGCACGTTGCTTCAAGCAATTGCAGGTGTTGGAAGCTGTGTAAATTCGTACTCGTGACCCTGTGCTATGTGAACAGAAAGAAAACGTTGTATCACTCACACTCTTCAAGTAATGCACACGCACCATTACATTCATTCACATAGTATCGCATTCATCTGCCACTACCTTTCTCACATACACTATATTCACACATTGCAAAGGTGCAAACTTCGCTTTTTGTACTTGTTAGCTGCTGTACTTCTACCTGAAACTATATTAGCTACATGTATATAAGTGTGTGTTTTAGTTATTATATTTTTATGTGACGGCGTTCCACTGATGACAGTCACAAGAAAACGTTATGGAACTTGACTTTCTTCATTTTTGCTGTTGTTATGAGTGCACAATTTATCTTATTTATTGCCATTTTAGGATATAATCATATAATGTTTTGTAAATGAGAGAGATTCATTTAGTGTGTTGAGTTGATTTGTTGTTTGTTGTATACTTTATTTAAACTGGAAATCAAAACAGGCAAAAAGCCTAATAACATTGGACCCGCTGTGAATAATTATCGATCTTTTACATGAAGAGAAAAAGTTTCGTATATGAGTGGGTGGGTCAAGGGGAGTTTCGTTTTGAAAAATATTGATATGAGAGACATCCAGGCATTCTTGCTGTCAAGCCAATCTATATTTCGTTCAGGGGGTGGGTGGGTGGGGGAGGGTCCTAACTAAAGTTTCCCCCCCCCCCCCCGCAGTCGCAAAAATTGTTCGACTTCACTGTACTCAATTGCCCACGGGACACAACCTTTTTACAAAACATCATTTTTCTCAAAAAAATGAGTTTCACCCTAAGCCTGGTTTTCGCAGAAGTTGGGCCAATTGGGGATAGGACCTGATCAACATTTAGAAAACAATTCTCAAGAAACTCCAGCCAAATTTGAAATATTTCAAAAATACCATGCGTCTGCAGTGTCTTTTATTGGCATCTAGTATGCCCAGGGCATGCGCTAAGGATTGAAATGTGCTCTGACACAATATCCTGCCAGTTGCAAAAACGGCCGGACATATTCCGACATGCAAATTTTCACATCATATCACACAATGTTCAGTGTAGAATTAATACCATCAAAATGTTATCACGACGATGCATTTCAGAAGTAGCATGATCTTTGAAGGCTGACGTTTTCAGGTTCCTTGAGCCAACGATGAAAGAGTCAGAAAAATTCTTGCTGCTGCGAATTTTATCAACAAAACGGGAACATATCTTACACTTCAAATTTTTTGATAACGCTACAATCTGAGGGACTGTGCTCATAGCTCAGCTGAACAGAAGTTGAAAGCTTCCTATCATACTTGGCGACCCACTTGCCACAAGTGGTCTTCTTGAGTCCTCGGGGCTTCTTCCAAGAGGAGCACCCGCATCAGCGGTGCTTGGCTTTCTCTTGCCAGACGATATCACCATTGACTATGAGACAAAGGATTGACGTGCCTTTTCATTTGTGCGCTTTGCAAAAAAATGTGCGCGAAAACTTTTTCCAGATGTGTACAAAACATCCGGAAACTGACCGTAAACGGTGGGAAATTGTCCGATGTCCGACCGTTATTTAGCACCCTGTATGCCTTTTTGTTGCACTACAATCAGTCAACATCTTGCTACCTTGCATGTACTCTAGGAGTACGGCAAGCAATTAGACCTAGCCGGTTGAACTCCTTACAGATTGTTAACATCAGATTACAGAGCACTCAAAGCTTGAACTGTGTAGAATTGATTATTTCGGATCAGTGAACTCTGTGTGGAAATGTGAGCGTGGGGAGATATACAAGATAAGAGCCCATACTGGCTGCTAACTCAAATAGATAGCTAACGTACAAAAAATCTGACACATATGAGCAACTTAGCAGAGTTCTGGTCCCTGTTAACTGATCACATCGGCAATCTCCACAGGGCCAGGCTCCTTGGCAGTATCCAATCCACGATGCACATAGCACCATCATGGTCCAGGTTACCATCTGCGCACAGAAGGTGGACAGTAGCCATAAAACCATAAACGATAATTCTAGTAGAAGACAGTCAACTCCCGCCCTAATCAGTTTACCGGAAATTCACCTACTGGTAAAGCCAAACCCGCTTAGTACGTATAGGGCATAAGACATACTAGTGTGTAGTAAGCACTTTTTGAAATTAAAAAAGTTCTAAAAATCCTCCTCCGAAAACCCCACATGCTCCCATCTTCCACCCTTTATGCCCTTGCTGACACTACCCCTTTGTCTAAGAGACGTAATTCACATCTTGTCACCCTTATCCATTCTCTCAAACTCAATCTGGTTTTCTTCCCGTAGCACGAGAAACTCCCGTTCCCTTCCGAAACCCAAGTCCTCCTTTCTACTTCACTCTCCCCTTTTCACTGCGTACTCTGCGTGGCTGGCACTTCCCCAAGAAGCTAAGGACCTTTCTTCCCTCCGCCTTTTTAAGAGCCTTGTCGCGCCTTGACTTTGATTTTGTGTTTCTCATTTTGTTGCAATCACTACTTTTCCATGCCGGTTCTTTTTTTTCTCCTCCCCTTCTCCCTTTCTTGCCGTGGTTGGCTAACACCCTCTCTCTTTGTATTGGCCGGTGTTCTCACTGTGCTATGAGATGCTGTAATAAATAAATAAATAAATAAATAAAATTCACAAATAAATGTGCACGCATGGACTTAGAAGTTTCACACCAAGGTTCAACTCGAGTGACAGGAACGCGTCTAAACAGTCTGAGAGTAAGGGGGCGTTTGTTTTTTGAAATTACTTCTGCTTTACGTCTCCCGAAGGGACCGCGGAGAAAAGGTGAACGTAGCAGATTGGACTGCTGCCCTCGAGTTGCGCGGATGGTGTTGTGTATCACTGGCCGATTATCTATGTCAGTCCATAACACACAACAAGAGCTTCGGTTGTTGTAGCTTGACTCTGGTCAAGGCTACGAGTAAGATCATTTCAAGTAATGAAGTCGATGATAAGAAGAAATTCGGCAGCTCTTTCACCAACCGGAAAGAGCTCTTTGTTTCAGGGGAAAACAGCAGCAACACCATTACGAGCACACTGTAACCAAATATGAATACTACAGAAAAAGAGTTAGTACGGTGCTAGCCCAATTCGGCACTAGCACCCCGAAGAGAAAATACAGCGTACAACAATACAGTACGCATAGCAGATTTAGGCGCACGATGAGCAAATAAGGAGTTGATTAGATTATTCTCGCGAATCGCGACACTCCCGGGCGAAAGAAGCAAACAAAGAAAAGAAAGCTAGCGGAAGAGCAATTAAACTACAGACGCAGTCACAAATCTGGGAAGACCAAATAACTTGGCCAAATAATTATACGATCAAAGAAAGAAAATAAAGTACATAACTAACTCACAGTGCATCATCATCCCTCAGCCTGCGAACCATATTCTGGCATTTCTGAGCAGCAGCGCGGCGTAGCCTGGCTGGTGGTGTGACGGACGCGTCGCTGTGAGTAGTTGCTGGTTCATGAGTGACGGAGACTTGACTGGCATCACTAGCTACTTCGACCGGGTACAAGTGGGAAACTGGGCGACGGACCTGTTTCTGAGACGCAAGCTGCACAGTCGCTGATCTCACCCAACCATCTTGGCTGTCATGAATATCCACCACTCTGCCCAGCCTCCATGTCCCTCTTGGCATGCCGCTCTCCTTGATCAGCACAACACTGTTCACACGTGGCTCCGCATTCTCGCATCTCTTGGCTGGTGCACTAAGTGGGCGTTCTCGTAGGCTGGTGAGATAGTCGTTCTGGAAGCATTGCCAAAACGATTCCAGACACTGCTGGCCTCGTTTCCAAAGCGTATTATACGTTTTAGAGCTAGATACAAGAAAATGTGGGTCATCATGTACATCAGTATCAAGAAAACTAGGGAAGATAAGATTAGAACGGAGGGATAAGAAATGAGCCGGTGTCAGAGGACCCCCCACCCCCGGAACTCGTCAGCATGAGCAACCAGTGGCCTGGTGTTCACAACAGCTTCTACTTCCGTCAGCAGGGTGTATAGTTGGTCGCTGGTCAGGACTTGCTTGCCGAGGGACTTGCGCAGCGAGCGCTTAACAATGCCAACCATACGTTCATAGCAGCCACCCATCCACGGTGCATGCTCAACGATGAATCTCCAGTCGACGCCTTGCTCTCCCATGTAATTCATTAGATCCGGATCCTTCACCATTCCTCGCCAAGCCTCAGTAAGTGACTTGTCCGCGTGCTTAAATTGGGGAGCGTTATCGGACCAGATGCGTTCCGGCAAACCACGACGCTCAACAAATCTTCGAAATGAATCAATAAAGTCGACGGTGGACATAGTTGGCACAAGTTCCAGGTGGACTGCACGCGTGACTAGGCATGTGTACAGCACACACCAAACCTTCTTGGATACGGACTGTTCCTTGGTGTACATCGGACCGAAGTAGTCGACTCCGCAGAAAGTAAATGCTAAGGAAGGGTTAAGGCGCTCTGGTGGAAGAGGCGCAAACGGAGGAGTGGCATAGTGGTATCCTTCGACTCTCTTGCACGTGTGGCACTTTCTCAGGATTGACTTCACAGTGCTTCTTCCTTGTGTGATCCAGTACTCCCGGCGGATTCTGCTCAGTGTGTGACTTACTCCAGAATGAAGTATCATCTTGTGGAAGTGGGTCACGATTAGTGCCGTTAGTGGTCCTCGATGCGGAAGAAGAGCTGGAAAGCGAGTCTCGATGTTCAATTCGGCATGCTTTAGGCGACCTCCGCACCTGAGGATTCCCTTCTGATCTATGAAGAGGTCTAACTTATGCACGAGGTCGTGCTTGTTTCCGCGTTCGAGAGCCATTAGAACATCAGAGTACTGGTGGCGCTGGGCATATTTCAGCCACAGTGTTGTGGCTTCTTGCAATTCGGTTGCGGATAGTGTGGTGTCACTCTGAGTAGTTCGTCCTTGCAATTTCGCAATGAATCGTGCCGACCAAGCTGTCACTCGGGTCAATTTGCTCCATGATGAGAATCTGGATGGATCGATGCCAAAGGGTGTGTATTCTGGCTGAACATCAGCGATCAGAGTTTCATCTGTTGTAACACATTTTGCAAACTCATCAGGAGTGGGTGTGGTCAACCGTACAGGATCCTCCCCCGGAAAGGAAGGTGGGGACCCCTGCAACTCGCAAAGCCAAGTTGGCCCATGCCACCAAAGGTCGACGTTTCCAGGATATGGCGATTGACCTCTAGAAGGAAGGTCGGCTGGGTTGAGGTCAGTCGGAGTGTGAAAGAACTCAATGGCAGGGTTCTTTCGAATTTCGGTGAGTCGATTCTCAACGAACTGTGGCTGTTTCTTCTTACTACGTATCCATCCGAGGACGCAGGAGGAGTCGGAGTGGACGCAGATCCGTGTGAACTCAACCGTGAGCTGACGCTGAATGAACTCGACAATCCGGACTCCCAGCTGAGCGGCTAGAAGTTCCAAGCGGGGAATTGTGATTGCTTTCACAGGCGCGACTCTCGTCTTGCAGAAGATCAGATCTGATGTGCAGTGCGTATCTCCAATCTTTCGAAGGTAAGCAGCCGCGCTATAGGCTGACTTGGAGGCATCGCAGAAAACATGTAACTCGTAACGCTCTGTGTCCAAGTGATTCAGACCAAATGAGCGAGGTACGACTTGGTCGGATGCTGCATCCATGGATTCTGCAATAGACTGCCATCAAGAAAGAATGTCATCACTGAGGTAATCATCCCAGTCGTACGATAGTTTCCAGACATCTTGCATGAGAATCTTCGCAGCAGTAACTACTGGTGAATGCAGACCTAAGGGGTCAAAGAATTGTGCAATGGCTTGCAACAACTCACGCTTGGTTCTGACAACGCGGGCTGTTGCAGAAATGGATGGGACCTGGAGCGTGTCATTCTTGAAGTTCCAGTCAATCCCCAGGCATTTCTGGGAGGATCCCTTGGCCCTGTCCTTCTCGGGCAACATCTCCAAGAAGTCGGCTGAATTCGACGCCCACTATCGGAGGTTCATGGAAGCCTCAGCAAACACGGACTTCGCATGTTGGTAGTACCGGAGGCTGTCGTGGACACCTGATTTTCCGACGAGCACGTTGTCCACATACAGGTTGTCCAGTATGTCGTGCGAATTTGTCGAGTCAGGCTGCGATCGAAGATGGTGGTGCAGGGTCGCCGAAAGAAGAAACGGACTAGAAATGACCCCAAAGGGTACCCTGCAGAAGCGGTAGATAATAATGTTGCTCGTGACTGGAGGCTGAGTAATGTCCTTCAGCCAGAGGAATCTCGTGACGTCACGATCGGGCTCGTGAAGCGAAAGCTGCAAGAAAGCTTTCTCGACGTCGCTGGTGATTGCTATTGGGAAGAGCCTGAACCGAAGCAATATGCCTACCATATCCGGTAGCATGACGGGACCTCGTAGAAGGCATTCGTTTAAGCTGGACGATGTCTTGTTGGACTTGGCGGAAGCATCATATACAACTTTGAGCTTCGTTGTGTTCTTGGCAGGTGTCACTACGCCATGATGGGGAAGATAGTGAACTGGATGACCGTCGGTATCGCTTTGCTCATCGACGACTGTTTCAAGGATGCCCTTGACCGCCTGCTCCTTGATCGTCTGGTCGTACTTCTCCAGGAGGTCAGGATCCTGGCGCAATCTCCGAAGCAAAGCCTTAAGGCGACCATACGCAAGACCTCGATCCTCTTGCAGATCACATGTGCCCGGACGCCATGGCCATGACACCACATAGCGGCCGTCCGACTGCTGCACGGAACGTGAAAAGCTATCACGCGCAAGTTGATCATCGTCGTGATCTGCATTCCCATCAATGCCCACGCTCTCTAATTCCCAGAACTTCTTCAGATCGAAGTCGGAAGGAGTGCACTGAGGGTCAGGAGCTTTGTTGACCATAAGAGTGGCCTCTTCTCGTTGGGTCAGCTCGGAGTGAGGAACCTTTCCCGTGCAGATAAAACCTAGCTTGGTGTCTAGGAGGATCAG